GTCTCCCAGTTGAGGAAGTGTGTAGCCGACGAGACGACAGTGGTCCCTTTAGAGGACATTCAGGTTGATGATTGCCTGAACTACATTGAGAAACCGATGGCGATTTTGGATAAGAAGGTGAAGGTATTAAGGAATAAAAAGGTGCCCTTGGTTCAGGTTCAGTGGCAGCATCAGAAGGGATCCGAGTGGACTTGGGAGCCGGATTCCGAGATGCGTGAGCAGTACCTAGAGTTATTTCCGGAGAATGACTTCGAGGGCGAAGTCTGATTCTAGTGGGGGAGAATTGTAACATCCCGACTCCCAGGTATAATAGTTAATTGAATTATATTCATTTTGTCAGGGAGACTCGACGAGTTGGATGCCCCAACTCGCCGAGTAGAGATGGAGATAGCCGTGGGGTTTTTAGAGTCTACTCGACGAGTTGGTGGACCCAACTCGACGAGTAGGTGCTGAGTGAGAAAACACTAATTTTTAGGGTTTGTGCCCTATTTAAAGAACCTTAAGCCTTCATTTCCGCCTCCCTAATCACTTTAGCACCGTAAGAGAAACCCTAATCGAGCTGGTATCACCTGTGAGAGAGAGAGAGAGAGAGAGAGAGAGAGAGAGAGAGGCTAAAAGTGTGTGATTTGGTGCATTCTTGGAAGGAGAAAGAAGAGCACAAGGCTTGGAACGAGAAGAGGCCCTTGGATCTGGTGTTCCTTTAGTGCTAGTTGCTATTTGGAGGTAAAAAGCTATCACCTTGATCATTGTTTGGTTAGATCTCTTCTTTAGGAAGTTTGTTGCCATTTCCATCTTCTTTTTTAAGCCTATAAGTCATTTGAGCATGACATGAAGTTGAAACTTCAGATCCGGACTGTATGAGGTCCCTTGAGCATAAAGATCCAAGCTTTATCAAGCTATTGACCAAGTTTCAACAATTTAAACCTTCTATAGAGTTTTGTTTTGGCATTTTGAGCCCTATGTGCCATGCATGGACGTAAAGCTTGCAGCTTTACGTGATATTTCAGCCTTGGGAGGCTAGATCTAGAGTTTGGGACTTTAGTTCTGCTTAGAATCGTCTGAATGAGAAATTGACTAGGGGGACTCGGCGAGTCCATGAGCCAACTCGACGATTCGGTTAGGGTTTTCCCCCGATAGTCTGCACACGTGCAAACTTGACGAGTCGATGAGACAACTCGACGAGTTAAGTTGGAGTTTCCTGATTTTCTGAGAACAGGAGGGACTCGACGAGTCGCATAGATGCACTCAACGAGTTGGGTCAACATGGACTGTTGACTCGACTGTTAACTTTTGTTGACTTTTAGGGTTTGGTCAAGACATGAGTTATGGAGACCATGGAGGAGTAAAATGGTCTTTCACCCTTTCCGAGAGTTAGAAAAGGGGTAGCCTAATATTTTAGGGTTGTTATTATTAAGTGTTAATTAGAGATGATTATGATATGTAGGTGGAGTCTAGACCAAGCATCAAGTGCGAGACCTACTTGCTTACTTACGAGGTGAGTCTTCTCACTATACTTACCTGAGTGGTGATATTGTGTGACTGAAGGGTCTTATATGCTTATACTGAGTTATTTGATATTCTGCATTTGTCTTCGTGATATGTGTTGTATGTTATTGTTGTGCCTTGTTGAGTTAGGACCGGAGGGTCCAAACAGAGTTGTGAGACCGGAGGGTCTTCACTGAGACACATTGACAGGAGGGTCCTCATCGAGATATAGTCATGAGGGGCTATTTATATGCGTGTGGTATTTTGGGGAACTCACTAAGCTTTGTGCTTACAGTGTTGTGTGATATGTGTTTCAGGTACTTCTCAGGATCGCGGGAAGGCGTCGGCTTGATTGTACACACCAGTTAGAGATTATGTTTTTTTAGGATTCTGGGATATTATCAAACAACTGCTGACTTGTGTTTTTGACAATTTATGCATTTGTGGTTTTTGAGAAATGTGATATTGGGTTTTATGTGATTTTAAAAATGAAAAAAAATTGTTTGAAATTTAGAGTGTTACACTATGGTTGATGTTATGAAAATAAAAGTTTAAAAATTTTATGAAAATTGGGTTGTTACAAAACTAGTAAAAAGTTAATGGTCAGCAGTCAGCAAAAGTCAACAACCACCGCGACGTGGAGACCTCTTGGCCACGTCGTGGGCATGAAAGGACAAAATAAACAGCATGCGGGACATCGCCACGCCTGGGGCCTTCCTTGGCCACGTCGAGGGCATGTACGGATAGAACAAACGTGAATCTGGACTCCACCACGTTGTAGCCATTCCTTGGTCACGTCGTAGTCACTAGAAGAAGCCATTTTTCTCATTAAGGACTTAATCCATTAAGTCTTTTGCTCTAACTTTCTAGAATGCTTCCTTAACCTTAGAAATAAGGCCTTTAAATATGGGGAAAACGCAACATGAGCTTGGGTTGCAACAGCTGCCACGCCATGTCAAATAAGCCTGGCACGTTCTTCATTAACTTGCCATTCCACGTCATGGTCATCAACCCACCACGTCGTGGCATGTGGTTTTCTCCAAAACCACAACTGTGACCCATTTAAGTCTTTAGTTGATCCATTCTGGAAAACGGGTATTACATATTTTGTAGCACCCCAACCATAACTGATCATCATGTTACATGTAAATCTTCATACACAATTATGGTTTTGAATTAATGTTTTCATCTAAAGGCTTCTCTCAATATCCATACAAGAAGCATTTTATCTAAATGTGCAAATAGGTACATTTTTTTGCCTCCCACATCTAACACATACTTTTCTTTGAACCAAATATCATATCCATGTAATTATCACCACACATCATAAGTCTAAGCTCACAAGCCAACTAGCCAAGGACTTGTTTGGATGATAATATTTGGATGACAATAATACAGACAATGAATCGTATCCTTTATTGATTCTCCATGAAAAAACAACAAAGTATAATATGTTGTTGAGAAATCGACATCCTTTAAAGTTAATATAAAAGGATATTCGTAAGTTGCGGGATTTGTAACAAATATTAGTTTGTAGTGTATGTTTATTGTCAACATCGTATGAGGTTTATATAAAAACAACATTTAACCGATGAAACCGACAATACATGTTTTACCGATAAAATAGACCTACTTGATTTTTTTTAGAAAAGTGAAAGTGTGAACATACACACAATTACTTGGAGTATTTGACTTTTTACTATTATTTAACACAAGTATTAAAAAGGGAAAAAAATCCATACATTTTGGCTCTATGGACAAAAAATCACCCCTGATTATTATTATTATTATTGTTATTATTATTATTATTATTATTATTATTATTATTATTATTATTATTGAACCATTGAAACCGGTAAACACTTGCAAAATAATCATTGTAACCGGTTTTAAGGTTAAAATTGCAAAAAAAAAATGGATAACTTTTTTGTTAAAATGATTAAAGTTTAAGGATTTTTTTAGAGATTTTTTTATATATACTAAATTTATTTGAAGAAAACTTATATTTATTTATTAAAAAAATCAAAATACAGATAAGTTTTTATTATTAAAAAACACAATAATGATAATTTATATATCATTTTTGAAATGTTTGATTCTCTTTAATAAATATCATTGCTAAAATCATAAAGATATCATATATATCTTATATAACTTAAGAGAACTTTGTTGATTTGTCGCAAGAAGTGCATTTCTAGGCCAAATGCTACTTCATTGTTGAATTTTTAGGTATTGGGTGTAAAACGTTTAACATAAAACTACAACTTATCAAAGATCTTTTCACAATCGAACGACACATCAGAAAATAAAGGTTTATCAGAGGCTATTATTCCTAAATAGAGCTCAAATATATACACTATATAGCCTAGAAACACACTTCCCACGACAAATCAACAAAAGTTTGTGTCTATGTTCATTAATGTCTTATATTTACACATCACCGCCACCGCACTCTGTTATCACCACCATCTCCGACCCACCTTCTACATTCTTCATCTCCGACCCACCATCATCAACATCGTCCACATACTTTTCTCTCTCTTCACAACCTGATAAAAAACCCAAAATAAAAAAACTTATCTAAATGTTGAGGCATTAATGAACACAAATTTGGACTTAGCACATAATCACACATTTCATGTAAACATGAAGGTTTTTATGGCAATAACCCTAATATAAGAGTTAGCATAGTTATAAAAACACATGCTAAATACAATTAATATGATTTTTGTTGATTTGTCGTAAGGAGTGTGTTTCTAGGTCATATATATCATGGAACTCTATTTAGAAACTGTATTTAAATGATATCTTTATGATTGTAGTAATGATATTTATTCAAGAGAATCACAAAAAAATCTCAAAAATGACATATAAATTACATTGTTGTGTTTTTCAATAAAAAAATGAGTTCTTTTTAGTAAAAGTGATGTAGATTGTATCATTATTTTATGTTTTTTAATAAATAAATATAAGTTTTCTTTAAATAAATTTATTATATATATAAAACAGAAATCTATAGAAAAGTTCTTAAACTTTAATCTTATTAACAAAATAGACATCCATGATTTATATTTATTTATTTATTTTGCAATTTAACATTTAAACCCGACACTAACCAGATACAATGATTGTTTTGCAAGTGTTTATTAGTTTTGAAATTTCAATGGTTAAATTGAAAAAAAAAATCAAATCAAAGTGGATTTTTTTGTCGATAGAATCAATTTTTTTTTTCAAGATTTCCGTATTGAAAATGTCATAAATACAAACATTTAAGGATAATAAAGGGCATTAGATGTTTGTACCATCTATAGCCTAACGGTATGTGATATTGCCTTCCTTCTTGAGGTTGAAGGTTAAAGTCCGTACTAAACATAAATTTAATACTTTAGAAGTAAGAGTATACATTTTCTTTTAAAAAAAAAAAAAAAAAACAAAATATATAGACACATAGGACGAGATTCACTTGGTCCCACGGCTCGGTCGACGTATATTCATTACGTGTCAACAAGGTGATACTTTTCGTTGCCCTCGGCTCACTTTAGCATCCTTCACCCTATTCCTCAACCACTTCATCGTCTTCTTCATTCCCCTTTATCGTTCCCTTCGCCTCCCTCTCATCCAGCTGGTACACACCAGGCTTACTCTATCACAATCTCTCGCGCAGAGTTACACAAAGGAACCCTAACAGCAGAATGAGTAGTTCAATTAACACATTCACAATTAGCAACCCTAACCCTAGCCAGTTATGCTCTAAGAGAGCGCCGATAGAGGCGTTCTGTTCTTCACCTTCCTTGTATCGGTTCGCACCTCTTCTTCGACCTCGTAGCTCCGGTGTACTCACACTTGCTGTTTCTGTCTCCGCCTATCCGAAAGGACTTGGCCATGGTTTGCTCCTCTCCCGTTCAAATTCACGGAACCGGTCGATTTTCTCTTTTGCGGCGTCTCATGAGGACTCGGTGAGTTCATTTTTCATAAAAAAAAACCTAACCTTTTGGTTTAATGCTGGTTTTAATTTTGTGGCAAGGTTCATATCAATTGTGCATTTGCAGTGTAGTAGGGCTATAAAACCCGAAATCTCAAATGTAGCAAGCTGAATTTTTTTTTGATACAGATACAACTAACGTATCAAATTATAGATCACCAATACAGTAAATGCATAATTAGGTGTTAGAATGCCTGCTGTCAACTCCTATACAATTGGCTATCTCCATACATTAAACTTGTTTAAAAAGAAGTCTTTTTAAAGACTAGCTCTTTTAATGACACCTATACTCCTTTTTTCCATTTCATACAATCAACTGATACAAATTATCAATTTAAGATACCAATTATCAGTTTAAGATAAGATGAATAGAGTAAAAACAATTTGGCAAATAAAATTTTAATAATCTGAATTGTTGTTAATAGTTTATACATGTTAGTTTGGTTGCAATAAAGAAAATAATATAATTTATTAACTTTATAAAAGTTAATTGAGTACAATCATGCAATATATAAGATTTTCTACTCAAAATCAAACTAATTATTTATAAGATTATTAGGTTAATAACACCATCTGTTTGCATCATTTAGGAGTCTTCAGAAGTTGATATACAGGAGGAAACAAATCGTCTGAAAGAGGGTGCTGAAGAATCTGAAGAAGCCTGGAAGCAAACATTAGCTTCTTTCAAAGAGCAAGCAATAAAAATGCTAAACATCTCCCAAGAAGCTTATGAAGTATACTTAAAGAAAGCCACAGTAGTATTAAAAGACACCTCAGAGCAACTAAAGATCCAAGCTGATAAAGCGAGTGCAGACTTTAGTGTAATTGCAAAAGAACTTAGTGAAGAAGGTAAAGTTTATCTGTCTGCAGCTGCAGAGAACTCCCCTGAACCAGTGAAGGATATTGTGGAAACATTTGCTTCTTCTTCAACTGATGACTTGAAAGATGTTTCAAAAGTTCTTGACTTTTATGTTGGTATCCCATATGGTAAGCTTATTCTATCATTATAAAATATAAATGAGAGGTTTTTGATGTAGTTTTTTTTATGGTTTCAGGTGGGTTGCTTACTTTAACTGGTTTTCTTTCCTTTATGATTACTGGAAGCACTTCTGGTATTAGATTTGGTGTTATTCTTGGTGGAACTCTTTTGGCTTTGGGTATTTATAGTCTAAGGTCATGGAAAAAAGGGAAATCTTCTTCTGTTGCTTTGAAAGGCCAAGCAGGTTTGTATCTTACTCTAATTTTTTATTCTTGTAACATTGGTTTGTATAAAAATATATCTAGCTTTGAATATTTGAGTTTGATGAAAATTTTTTGATTTTGCAGCCATTGCTACAATATTGTTTTTAAAGGATACAGGACTAGTGCTTTCTGTAAGATCCCAATTATAGTTCTATGTGTATAATACTATATAATTCATAAACATACACACACATATGAATTGTGTGTATGTTTCTAATGTTCATGAAACTAACATTCTGTCATATTTTCATCCTCTACAGAGGCCAGCATTCACCAGATATGTTGCACTTATAATCAGGTTTGAAACATTCGAGTCTTATTTTGGTCTTTAGTCCCTCTTTTATTGTAAATTTATCATTCATGTCAAAATTGTTTTGTTTTTAATCTTTGTTTTCATGTTTGATGTGCAGTGGTGCAGTGCTAGCATTTTATGTCTACAGAATCATATATTCACGTGGACAGTCAACCGGAGGATCAAGTGTTGAAGCTGAAAATTAACTCTGGTAATTAATCTTCATCCATGGTTTTTTACTGCTGTAATTTCTCTGTGTGTGTGTGCAAAGTGTTGAGCTACACTTTTTCGTGTTTTTTTTTTTTTTTCAGGTTTGAAGGTTAAAAGAAGTGGTGTCATTAGTGGTTATGGCCTCGTGAGAAAGCTTGGATTCATCCATGGTGAACTTGCATTTGTATTTGCTTGTTAAGAACTATGATGTTATTAATGGTAAAAGTTTTAAGAAAAATAATGCGCTCGAGGCTTGAAAGAAATTGTTTTTTTATTTATTATTTGAGGAAATGATTGCGGTTGTAGTTGGTGCTTAAGTTTGAGTTAATTATGTTTTGTCATTGACATTGTATTTGATATTATGTTATCGATGAAGAAATGTGGGACATAACATCATTCAAATTGTTAGATCCAAAAAAAAAAAAAAAAAAAAAAAAAAAAATAACATTTCATTGACCAAGGTATTTTTGTAGACTGGTTTTGTTGATGTAAGTTTTTAAAGTAAGGTATTTTATGTCTTGAGTTTAGATAGGTATTGTAAGTACTTGAATGTTTGCACATACCAAAGGGCGTATTGGGAGGTAGGATAGACTTAAGAGAGAAGAGTAGTGGGTTTGTGCAAGTCTATTTTTTGCACATCGGTGTAAAATAAAATTTAAATACTTAAAAGTATTGATAAATATATGTTGTCAAAAATAATTGTATCATTAACTATAAATACTGATTCTTGTGATATAAAAAAATAAGGGATCTTTCTATTATAACCATAGGTTGGATAGGTGGCTTTTGGTCAAAGGTTGAAGGTTCAAGTTTACGTGTAGATTTATGAGAATAGAGTATTTTATGTCTTGAGTTTAGATTCGTGTGTAGAAATTCTAAAAGTTTAAACATCATGTGTAAAACTTTTTTACATTAAGCATCGATAAATTTATGTTGCCAAAAATAATTGTCATTAGCTATAAGGCCGGAGGGAGTGGCCCTTGCCGGCAGCTCGTCTGACTCGCCAAGACCACCCATCAAAGACGCTACAAGGCTCGCCAAGGGTGGCTGGTCATCAAGGTAGCGAGAGGAATGGGAAGAAGGTTGTGATTGACTATTTCTTTTTTCTTTTTTTTTTTTATCTTTTTTTTTTTTAAAATAAAACATATTAAAATAACACACCACCACTCTTTATCTTTCTATAACTTTGATGCTACAACTTCCTCCGGTCTATGTGACATCAAAAAATCTGATGTGGTAGTGTGTTAAGGATACTACCATTCACTTCAATCTAAATATTGTTTTTTATATTGAATTTCAATCTGAATACTGTTTCTTGTACTAAATTCAATAGTTGATATAAAAAATAGGGATCTTTCTATTATAACCACACGAAGAAAATTCAAAGTTCAAATCTTGTATGTCCAATATATTCCTAATGCGTTGTAATTTAACTTAGAATTATGTATGCCTAAATTAGTGTTCGTGTTTTGTAATTTAATCTCTATGTAATGTGTTTGGGGCATGTTTGGCATGGGTTGTGCAAATGGTATGGTTTACACCTCATGATCTCAATGGACTTTACGGATGGGTGTCTTTGTCACACAAGATCACATGACACGCAGTGGCGAATCTAGAACAAAATTTCACATGGTTCCAAATTAAGTGAAGCCGATAAAAAAAATCAACAAACACTTGTGGGGGGTCGGGTCGGGTCATGTACGATTTAATGAAATATAACTGAAAAAACCGATCAGGCACCGCCAATTAAATTTTTTTAAAAACCGACTGAAATATAACTGAAAAAACCGAACAATTTAATGAAAAACTAGTTGATTATTAGTGCATTGATACCTTATTGTTTGATAAAAACTATATATTATATTTAACTCTACGAATTTAAAAGCACAATTGTCCCTTGTAACTTATTTTTTTCTCCTTTTAAAATGGTTTTTTAAGACATTTAAAAAAAACAAACTCAAGGTAGGTTCTCTACTTTTTCTAAGGTAGTTCCTAATTTTTGTGTATATATATTATAAATGAAATTGAAATTTTAGGTAGGTCATAGGACCTACCTTCTTCCTTATTAGATATGCCACTGACGACACAACAAATTTAAATGTAACATGAACAAAACATGATATGATGTTTTTCTTTACTAACGCACAAACAAATGAACTAAAGCACGCACACATTACACAACACGAAAAAGATAACATAAAATAACCATGAGTTTATTTAATCCATACTTAATTACGCAAAACACGACAAACACAATGAACATGAAAAACAATACATGTTAATATTTTGTCGGCTTTTGAACAAGAACACGACACATGTTTTTTACACCAATACAAACACGACACGAACACAAATTTAAATCTTAATTTCATTTTTTGTAGTGTGTTTTTGTCATGGTGTATCACCGATTAACAACTTTGTTTTTAACTATTGTTATTAAAATTACTTATTTTTTCAACTTTTTAGTGTTGATCATGGTTTTTATAAGGACAATATACATAAAAGCGAATACATTTTGGTTTTTTGATGGTTTAACTATTAACAATTTTATTTCAGTAAATAAAAGTCATTTATTTTATAAAGAAATTTCCACGACAATCATCGTGACACCTATTTTCGATGTACTTCATGAACTAACGTTTTAATTTCGAAATGGCTTCTCATTTTCCGATTTAGTCGGTTATACACATACCATGTAAATGAAAAGTCATTTCAAAAAGTTAGATATTATTTTAGAAAGTACACATGATACTATATAGTTATATGAAAAGTTATTTCTAAAAGTTAAATTTTATTTTAGAAATTTCTTCTCATTTACCTACATGACATCGTATGTACTTCATGAACTAGCATCTTACTTCTGAAATGGCTTCTCATTTTTCTGGTTTAGCAAGTTATAAGGGCCAATTCAAGCCGATTTGAGACTCCGAACAAAATAAAAAACTGAGGCCCTTTAACAGTAACTTTTTTAATTAAAAAAATAATTAATTGTTTAGATTCCTAAAGAATATGTTGAAATTTCTTCGTCTTCTACACCAATCTTGTCTCTAATCTGGTTTTTCCTTTTTATTGCATGCGACAACTTAATAGTTAATACCAATTTTTTTTTTTATAATAATATAAGTAGATACATAAAAATGGCCCTAGAAATTTGGAGGCCCTGGGCTATCGCCCATGCTGTCCCACTAACTGATACGATCCGATGTAAATGAGAAGTTATTCCAGAAAATTCGATGAAATTTTAGGAAGTACATATATGATGCCATGCCATGTAGTTATATGATAAGCCATTTGTTTCTACTTTAGTTAACTGGGGTCACATTAGAAATATCTTTAATAAAATGGATGACTTTCATCGACCAAGATAAAATATGGTGAGTAAACCAAAAAGAGACCAATTTACGTATATAGCCTTTTTTTCAAATACCAACCATTGTTTGGTATTACTTTTTATGATGAGTGAGGGTATTCAAGTCAATTTGCACAAACTAGGTGGGGAAACTACAACATTTGTCCCGTGAACATCCTCCAATTTGCGCCATAGAACTTGTTGCGACATAATGAGCATGTCTTGTAGCACTTCGATTCATCACATTTAAGGGGCTTTATAGCATTGATATGAAGTTCATTCAACAACCTAGTCAACTTAACGGTGTGTTTCATTTACAATTGTTTCATGGGTGTACTATGAGACATAGTCATGTGTTTATGTTTCACATGATATTGTTGATGTGTACATGGTTTATATCTCACATGATATTGGAAGTCTGATGGTGCTAGCCAACTTAAAGAGTGTTGGTTGTTGAGGTTGTAGGGATGAATACACAACACAATAAACACAACGAAACTTTTGAAATCCAAATACCTTCTACCATTATCAATTTCCAAAATGGTTTTTATTTTAACATGCTAACATAAATAAAAGAACCTCAATAACAAACATAATCTTTAGTGAAGAAAACGTTGACATATACATAGATACGAGCGTGTCAAAAACTACTATTTCTGTCTTGTCTTCTTTTACACATTTCCATGATGAGTCCCATGTACTTCAACCTCCCCCTGGTTGTCCAATGGCATGTATTGTGCCATAATTGCCCTTATCTCAGAATCCATATATGTCTGCACAACAAAGTTGTAACCGTTTAACAAGATAAACAACATGTAAATAAGTCATAACTGATTAGAGTTTGTTTTTTATTTTTTATTTCTTTCAAATATTATGTGTTTTAAGATGAAATGGACTCAAACATCAATCATACCCGGATCCTGTATTTATAGAATGCATATCCTGCAGTACCAGCAACAGCCAAACCAAGAATAATAACCCACACGAATCCCCAGCTGACTTCCGATTTACCACTTTTACCTATTTTTCAAAAGAAAAAAAAAAAAAAAAAACCATAATTTTATAAATTCCAAGATTCAATATATACAAGAAGTATAAAAGAAGAAACACGAATAGGACATAACAGTTGTATTGTGTTTGGTATGCATTACACTGGGACTGAGACTGATGTCAATGGAACAAGGTAGGGCACACAGGGACTCCCACTTGACGTTTTGTTTGTGCAAAAAGACGCAAATACCCTCACCCATCCGATATTGAAAATAGCTCTAGAATAACAGAATATGTAAAGGGTAACATGAGGAGTGAGGACTCACTGATACATGTGTCGTGTTCTTTCATGTAGAGCAAATTGCCACTGCAGCTACACTCATAACTACCCCATGTGTTTTTGCATTTGCAATCTGGACATTGACATGCTGTCTTCTCTTTGCATTCATCAATATCTGAACACACACAATTATAGCATCTTACTTCCATTTCTTTCTATTACACCATTATATTTTCAAATTATTTCTTATTATGGCATTGTAATTTGAAAAATCTACCAAACTATAGCAGTGAAAACTGTTTTGTATTTGTATTTGGATGAGATTTTGTGGATTTTTCAAAGTACAATCCTTTAATAGGAAAAATGAATATAGAACGCGATAATAAACAAATAAACGTGAGCACGTTGCTATTTCATATGCATTTAACCCCGGAAAGTAACTTTACTTGTCATTACAAGATTTTTTTTTTCTTTTGCAATAATATTATATATTTTACTTCGTAGTGGAGAAATAAAACTGGATTAAAAGATCACCTTCACAGCTATTAACACCATCTCCTTTGAACCCTGGTGGACACTTGCATCCTTTTGTATGGTCATCCTGCAAAACAAAATAAAAGTTACAATCTATGCATCTCTGTGTATACAAAGGTGTTTATACAGATATACATACATACATACATATATACAGTATGTATGAGAGAGAGAGAGAGAGAGAGAGAGAGAGAGAGAGAGAGAGAATACTAACAATACAAGCAGAGTAAGTCATGCCAAGTTTGGTGT